AGAAGCAATGGGCTCTGTGTAACCGCCTGCCTATTATACAAATGACTGTTGCACAAAATGAGTGTCCATTATGCTGGGCCATCCTACATACAGCAGCATAGAACAATCAAATGGGGAGTTTCCTAACCAATGATTAGTAGCCAAACCACTAATCATCAGAGAGGACCATGGAACAATTCACAATGGCTTTTCCTGTTAACTATCCAAAAATTCGTAATAAGGTAAAATGCGTTTATTTAATTATTAACAATGGGGGAGGGGATTTTTATTCAATTATTATGAATGTTATTAACACGATCCACATTATTCTCACTTGGTCTAAAACCAAGCCTTTTTATACCTCTTGAGGTATTACAAATAATATGACCTTTACAATATTTTGTCCAATAAAATATGCTTATTAATCCTACTTTCTGTATTACTAGCTTACTAATTGCTAATTACTAATTCTCTGACTCATAATTACTAACCCTATGATTCATTATAAGGTTTCTGGTCCAAACTGTTTTCTCATAGCCCAAACTAGTTTGGGCAATTTGGGCTTCTCAACATTTTCTATAAGCATGGGCATTAAAAAACTATATGAATCAACTTGTTTTAACTTGAACAACTTTAAAATAATTTTGCCCAATTTCAGCTAATAACAAAAAGTAGTTTGGGCTTATAAAAAAATAATTTTTGCCCAAAGTATTTGGGCAATTTCGGCTACTAATAGAAGCAGTTTCGACCAGAAACCTTAAATTCATTAATACAAATAATTTGATCAATAATTCGAAATAAATAATTATGTCATAAAGATAAGTTAAAAATAGAAATGATGTAATGATCTACATGTATAATGTGGCACAATGTTACAATAAATATAGAAAGATGATTGTTAATTGTGATGTAATATTTAGTGCATCCCATGACTTTGTTCTAATTGGTCAATATTAACGGTCAATTGGTTGGTCCATGGTTTACAATCTCACAGTATACATCTTTAAAAAATACATTGCCATCCAAAAAGTATCTTGACAAGGTTTTTAATAATTACACAAAATACCACATAACAAAAGTACATAAAATTTATATCATATATGGCTTAGGTTTTGGCAGCTCTACATATAAGATCTCATTTTGCTATGATTTTTAGTTAAAAAAAAACAAACACCAAATAAATTGCAAGGATTATCTTTAAAATTTTATGTTTCTCAATAAAAATTTAATAAAAATTTAATGGTCTGTATTTAGGTTCTCATAAATAAATGACTAAAATTTTAAGTTCTTGACACTTGTGAAAGTTTTGTTAATTTTAAAAATAAACTGATACCAAAAAAATTGATTAGATCAAAAAAAATTCTTGTGATTTTTTTAATTTTAAAAATAAAAAATTCAGAATTAACTGAAGATGAACAAGGAAAAATTTTAGATCTAAGAATAGGTGGTAGTCCTCTTGCAAAAATTGCAAAGACACTTAATATTCCAAAGTCTACAGTTCATGACACTATCAAACATTATGAGAATGTAAAAAATTTAAAATAGGTGGTTGGGTTGAATATTGGACTGGTATTTCTGCTTCATGGAGATGGTAATAGCAATGCACATCAAGTGAATCCTGAATAAGAACATTTAAATATATTTTTCTTCCCACTATTTGTACTCTAATTATTCCAAATTCATTCTTGATAGGTTTACAACTTTTGTGGACCCAAAACATGCCATCATTTGCCTCTCTCCATAGTTTTACTCCATCATCCCTTTCTTTTTGTGCTGTACATGATAAACATGAGCATTCAGTGTAGACCAATTTATAGTCTTTATCCCTATGTCTCATTACAAACATAATATCAGGTTGCTTTCCTGATCAGCCACTTCCTCTCCTGTCTGCACTGGCACTACTCTGTTGTTCAAAATTGCTGAGAAATGAAGATCTCCATGAAGGAAGACCTTTTAATGAAGCACGAACTGCAGGCAAGATTATATTAGTAACGTAAGTATCTTCATTTAATTTTTCTACAAAATTGGACCCAAATGCAGGGTTTCTCTAAGCATCATGCCTAATGATAAGATTATTTAATGAGTATATTCTTTTAACAGAACCCCCAAAAAACTCTATAGTTTTATATCCAGATTGGAATACTCACAATGTATCTAGAATCCTTTCAGCAACATTAGCAAGCTCTTCATTGGTTTCCTTCCACATCCCATCATGTAAAAGATTTTGTGGTAATCTGAATCCAATATCATCAGCAAAATTTTGCACAAATTCATTACATTTCCTATGCACTATTGATGGAAGGGAGGGCACCATATATTGAAGCGGTTCCTAATAAATTAATTTTTGTAATGCTTTTTGTGAGTAATTCAATGAAATAATATGAAGATTCAATCTGGTGCTGATCCACCTTCCTGAGGAAACCAGACCTTACGAGTTTATAATACCAACCATAAATGTATTTCGCAATTCATCTGGCAAGAGACATATAATATCTGAATCATTACTAATAATTTGATTTGTCAGAGGGCTATTCCAAGGAAGTTCTGAAACTGTGACCTTCCTAATTCTCCTATACAATTCAAAAGACAACGCTGATGTGTCTTTTTTCAATTTTCTCTTCAACTTAGTTATATTTTCTGAGATTTCTTCTGAATTAAGGATTTCCTCATCTATTGTTACTGCTCCAATATTTTTCAAACTATGAATGATTTTGCAAGAGACTTTAAACTAGTGCAAATATAAATTGTTAGTTTGGAATTCCAAATTAATGCTGAAAATATTTTAAAGGGTGCATGCACTGTCAGATTATAACCAAAGCTCTCTCTTTGTGAGGTTAGCTACTCCATCATGCAGATAGAACTTTGTGTGATACTAAATTATCAACATAAAACCAAGCATAGGCTTTCAACTTAAACATCCCTCCTGCGGTGAGGAAATTCCTGGCATGGGACTAAATGGAATGCTTAAGCTGACATGTTTGTTTTTTCAGAGGTATCACTTCTGCACTATTCACCATTCAAAAATATTAATATAGATATATTTTTAATGACTTACTTCTGAGAGAATTTTAAGGAGAGTCACATAACATGAAGAACCTCTGTTATTATTATTATTAGTGTGAGATCAAAATTCGTATCTCACACAAATCTCTTGGATTTGGTTAAACTACTATTTTAGTTTGTTTTGTGGCAGTATCCAGCAATGTAATTCTTTGATTACTTTCTTTGCTATAGCACTCAAGTTATTTAATGTCTTTACACTCTTTGGTGTCTTGGCAGCTAATAGCGCTCTAGCTATTACTCCGTGAGAGGGCAAGTGTCTGACTTCCCTTCCGGTAA